AGCTTCGCTTCATCTATGGAGGTGTTTAATTATGGTCCTTCATGTGACCAGAGTCATTATTGACAGCTGTGTTCCAAATCCAGCTTGCATATTTAATAAGGTGTCCATGGGCAAATGGACACCTTATTACAATTTTAATAAGGGGAATCCTGAGCCAATGGGAAGTCCTGTGGTCTGAGTGTTTGTGTCTCCCCTAAAATTCATATATTGAAATCCTAAGCTCCCAGGTGATGGTATTTGAAGGTGGAGCCTTTGGGCAGTGATTTGGTCATGGGGGCTAGAGATGGAGCCTCATAAATGGGAGTAGTGCCCTTGTAAATGACACACCAGACAGCTGCCTCTCTGCCACAGGAGATGACCACACACTGGTTCTGTTGGGCTCCTTGATCTCGGACTTCTCAGCCTCCAGACTGGGAGAAATAAATATCTGTTGTTGAGGCCTCCCAGCTTATGGTATTTTTGTTATAGCAGCCCAAGCTAAGGCAGGTAGCCAAAGGAAAGCCAGGCTTTTGTTTAATCAGCAGCAGGGAGTCAGTGTTCCAAGTTTGTTAAATAACTAAATGCAGAATCTCATTCTCCCATAGGGTACAATCAGCGCCAAGCCCAGCTCTTTCCTCTGCCATTGACCTGGAGCTGTCCCATCTGATTTTATGCTGGGGGACGACAGACCACCCAAACTTGTCAATGATTCACTTAGCATTTCATCTTCCGTGTCCAGGTGACACCCTAAAGGCCCTCCCTCTGTGCAAATACTCCCCCAGACTTGGTCCCTCCCCTTCCTCATTTTGCTAAGGATGGAGGCCCATTCTGCTTCTAAAGCAAGTTTCCACCATCTTCAAATCATGATATACTTGGAATAGAATCCATACCCTTTTGCCCAGCCCCCATGTGGAATGTGGTCTCCAACACCCTTCCCGGGTTAAGCTCAACTGCCACAGTTTCCTCTCAGTTTCCTCAGCACACCTCATTCTTGGCCCCACAGGACCTTTGCATAAGCCCTTTCGTCCACCTGGAACACCCGCCCAACTCTGCAGGACTCCCTCCTCCTTTGCAAGTCTCAGTGTGAGTCAGCTTTCCTCCTCAGCAACCAAAGCACTTCCCCTCACACCCCCTTACCCGCTATCGGCTTGCTGGTGTCCTCCGTACCACCCAATTTCATTCTCATATTTTAGGCACAGTCGCTAACCAAGGAAGGTGTGGTTCCTAAGAGAGACTTTAAATCACAGATATTTACGTTCCTGTTTTTTCTGCCTAGAGGGCTGTGACTACATGAGTAGAAGGGGCTCTGAAGTGATATTTAAATGTAGCTGGCCATTGCTAAGGAGGGCAGAGCCCTGTGAGGTCTCCACTGATAGAGCTGGGGACAAACGCATCTTAGGAAAACAGAGAAGCTGGGCCAGGTCAGGCCTGGGAGCCACTGTCCCATGAGGCAGGGGCAACATTCTTCCAGAAAACAATTCCAGTTCTGGGACAGATTTGAAGCTGCAAATTCTATACTATAGACAGAACTGTGATCATTTTATTCTGAATAACTTAGTGGGTGTCGCTATGAGCATAAAAACATTTCACCAAATATGCACACACTGTCACAGGATTTGAGCAGTGTCATTTCCTGGAAGGTTTTTTGGGATAAACCTCATCTGTAGGTAACCAGAAGTTGACTTGCTGTGGTGAGTTGTTGGGTAAAGCCGATCATATGTAGCCGATCACTAGCTACCAGGCAGGAGCATCTTGGTTTTGGAGCGTTTGATCCCATGCCACTTTTTGAAACAGTAATTAGTAGCAGGAAACTGTCACCGGCCTACTGCTAATCCCCCCATATACAAACACAAATAACCCAGCCATCCTGTGTACCCTTGTTTATCACAGCTAGGAAGTGCTTTTCATCTCCATTTCATAACTTGATTACTCTGTGCCTCCCCAAACAGAGAATAAGCTTTTTGAAGTCAGAGATTTTGACTGTGGTTCTCGTTGTGACCTATCCAGCAACTGCAGCAGTGCCGGCACATAGAAGACTCGGGTTGCATTTGCTGCACGAATAAACACATGAACACGTTGGCACAGAAGAATGCTACTTTGATGGGATGCATGAGTTTCAAGATTTTCTTTCTGTTCATGCGGCATGAGATTTGTAATTAAGACACCGATTTAAGCCAGGTGTAGTGGCTCAACGCCTGTAATCCCAGCACTTTGGGAGGCCAAGTTCAGTGGATCACTTGAGGTCAGGAGTTTAAGACCAGCCTGACCAACATAGTGAAACCCTACCTCTACTAAAAATACAAAAGTTAGATGGGAACAGTGGTGCATTTCTGTAATCCCAGCTCTTCGGGAAGCTAAGAATCACTTGAACCTGGGAGGTGGAGGTTGCAGTGAGCCGAGATCACATTACTACACTCCTGCCTGGGCAATAGATCAAGACTCCATCTCACACACACACACAAAAAGACACAGATTTAAAGTCATGATGACCAGAATACAGCTTGGTTTCACTCACTAGAAATTATCTGATCTGCAAGATCATTCCTCACAACCCCTGAGCATTTTCTACAGGCACGGGAGGACACTGAATCTCTAAAATCACTTGCAAAGTTTTGTTGCAGCAGAGCTGAGAGCTGGGACCGGCGTGCCTGTGGTGTCCCTCCGTGAGGATCCTGACCATGCATTTGAGCACACTCCATGAAGGGGGCGGGTGGCTGGCAGGGCTGTTGTATGTACCAAGCATGGGTTTTAAATTACAGTTCATTCTCCACAGTCCCAGGAAACTCCCTTCACCCAACCATAGTCTTGCAGTCTTGATTCATGTTCTTATTTTAAAAATGCTATTGATAACCTTTTGTGATTTCTGCCTCAATCTCCTAGGAAATGTACAAAACAGAAAATCACATAGCTTCAAAGCTCTGGAGCCTTATATGATGAAGAAAAGCAATGATTTCTCATTTCATTCTTTCACTTAATCAACTGAATTAATTGTATGCTCATATTCATTTAGATATGATGACTAGGCAGACTTCAGTATAACCATCCATTGCCTTGCTTAGCACCGTTTGAATTTTTTTCAAAGAGAGGAAGAACTCCCTTGGCTTCTATTACAGCATCCATATTTTGTGCCCATTTTTAAATTTTTTCTCCTGTCTTTTTTCTCTCTTTGAGCAATATCATATCATTTCTCTTTGGTAAATTTTAAATCACCGCTTAATTTCCAATAGAAAAAATGTTTGAGTTACACCCAAATAATCCCCAACCTCAAGCACACTGTGAGCACACCAGCGAGTCAAAACTTTATGCCATAGGACAGATTAGTTCTGAATACCCCCAATTCACTTTCCCAGGTTCCTGATTAATTAATTTTGGTGAGTTTAATTTAGTCACTGTTCAGACAGACCCTCAGTCTGAACTCAGCGTGGGCAGGGTAGACAATCAAACTTAAAAATTCAGGTTAAAATTCTCATTTCAGAGCTTATGTTATCTGGATTAATCATCCACAAGGGTCAAGTCAGCTAAGTAATTCTAGTTCAGCTTAAAATCTGTGGAGGCAGAATTAGTCTTTTACATTCAAGGTCCCTGCCCCAGATCCATACATTTCTGTCTCTTTCTCTCTTTGTCTCTCTCTTTCTTTCTTCCTTCCTTCCTTTCTTTCTCTCTCTCTCTTTCATTTTTTTCTTTTTTGACATGGAGTCTTGCTCTGTTGCCCAGGCTGGTGTGCAGTGGCACTATCTCAGCTCACTGCAACCTCCGCCTCCTGGGTTCAAGCGATTCTCCTGCCTCAGCCTCCCAAGTACCTGAGATTACAGGCACATGTCACCATGACTGGCTAATTTTTGTATTTTTAGTAGAGACAGAGTTTCACCATGTTGTCCAGGCTAGCCTCAAACTCCTGACCTCAAGTGATCCATCCGACTTAGCCTCCCAAAGTGCTGGGATTCCAGGTATGAGCCGCCACGTCTGGACTGTTTCTTCCTTAACCTCTTACTTTCTCATGTGTGAGTTACCTTGTAGGTTTCCAAGGCAGACGGGATAAGATGGAAAAGGAGAACACAGAAATCTAGACTGGAGGAGCTGCTCTGTTCCTGTATTTATCTGTGTAGGTGTGAATGAGGGAGAAAATGACAAGAGAATTACATTATTTAAAGCTGTTTTTTTCCCTGATCATTTTCTTTTTGAGAAATGATTGCCCAATACCGAAAGGCATGTCCTTTCAAAATGTTTGTGTTTCAAATGGCTTCCTAATTACTTAGTGATATGGGGGATATGTATGGTTATCTGGAGTTACATGCTGGTGGTGTGGGGTGTCCAGAGAGGAAAGAAAGAGCCGTCCTGGTGACTCAAACCCTGAGGGATGTTGGGGGGATGGGCAGGAATGTGAACAGACATGCTGGAAGCTGAATCCGCGCAGTGGCACCCATGCCTGTAGCCGTCTCAGTGGAGGGTCCTTCTGAGAACAAGCTTTGATTAATGATATTTTAATGCTAGTTAGCTTTTTAGCACTCCCATGCCTAAAGGCTCTGAGAGAAGCAAGACTCCCACCCCTGCAAAAAAAAAAAATCCACGGTTTTTATGCATTCCAACAGATCTCTTAAGGGGCAGATGTCCAGAGAGCCAGGTGTGCCAGGGACCTATGGCAGCAGTGCTAAACGTGCCCGCTTCAGCCTCTCCAGTGCTGGGAGAGACCTCTAGATGGTGCAGGTGAGTTTACAATGAGGGAAAGCCCCTCTGCAAGGGCTGTTTCCAAACTTGGAGACGGGACAGGGAGCAGTCAAGGAAGAGTTCCCGGGAAGCCCTTTAAACGGAAAGAAAAGGAAGCGAGGCTGGTGGCAGAGAGGTGTGCCAGGTCCCAGGCAACCCTGACGGCCTCTGGGGACATAGAGTATCTGTTTCTGAGAGCGCTGCCAGGGTAGCCAACTGTGAAGCCTGTCACCCAGAATTGGATGGTGCCTGGCTTTCTTCGTATACCCATCCTCTTCTGGGACTGAAGCTGACCTCCGGCGGGAGCCAGGTAAGCTTTGGTCCTTTCCTCTGGTTTTCTAAACTCCTCAGCTGTGGCTGAGACTGAGGTGTCAGGGGCTGGGAGACAGGCTGGGTGCATTTTTGAAATGCATGTCATTTTTGGGTTGCGTTTGAACAAGCTTTACCGATTGCAGTATGTCTGCGCTACCAGTTCTAAGACCTGAGATTATTCCTTTGTTTCCAGGAAAACATCAGAAACCCCGTTTTGCCGTTGTTTGCACAATTGGTTAGGGAGCCGAATTCTGAGTATGTTTCACAGGCTGTAAGATTCAGGCTACTAAAGCAACGGGTTCCTCCAGGGAGCCTGAAAAGTATGTTCGGGTTTGCCCCTGTGCTGGCTTACTGGGGAAGGCAGGCACAGATGGGACTCTAGCTGGGCTCTGTACCTGCCTCCCACCCTGCATACCCTCTGTGCCGTAAAAGACCTTCCAAGTGGGGTTTCCAAGCAAGTCTGACACCTTCCATACCCTGGCTTCTGTGTTGGTGGGGGAAGCAGGGAGAGGAAGAGAAGGAGGGGAGTTGGTACCTAGTTGTGATGGTTGAGATTTTCATTTCCAGCCAAGAGGTTCCTCTCAACACTCTGACAGACAGTGGGGCAGTCTGGGCTCCTAGGAGCCGGCTCTGATTCCCAGCCTCCTCCAGCAGCAGCCAAACTTTGAGATGTCAGCTCAGGGAGAAGAGGGTGACTGAACAGGGAGGGCAGCAGGCAAGGTCCCCCACTGGGTTTCCCTGCCCATGTTGTGCTGAGTCAGCAGCAAGAGGGACAGTTAAAATCTACAAGAGGGCAGATGCTAGTCAGTCGGGAATCCCACACAGCCAGGGGCACACGCGTATGAGGAGACTTATGGAGAGACAGGAGCTCCGCAGTCCTCTTCCCTTGTCCCCAGGCCACTGCTCTGCGGCTCTCAAGTGGCATTTTTTCGACACTTTCTAAGCAAGCATGAAACTGTAACAAAGAGGTGAAAACCCACAATAGACTGACAGAGAAAAGGGATCCAGTCCTCTAAGATAGAATATTTCTTGCCTGGCTTGATACTCTGAGGTTTCTAAGATATAGCCACCTACAATGTTTAAAGATACGTTTTGACAGAGGCTACCAAAAAGAGAGTGAGTCTGGTCAAGGTTGGGAAATAAGCGTTGGTTCCGATGATGGTCCGCATGTACCCTTCATGGCTGGGAAAGTTTGGGGGTCCTGGTGGTGATCGGCAGGGGTCTCTGCTGTACTCCTCCCCACCCCTAAGTGGGCCAGGCTGTGCTGTGGAAGGATTAATTTTTGACAGCACAGTTGAAGGATAATCTTGGAAAGACCAGTCTTTGGGAGAAATAAGTAAATAAAATTTTCCTGAAATGCTTGATTTCCACTCCCTGGCCACTACCTGGTTTCTTGCTTTTGTGAGCTGGCCTTTCGTGTTGTTGGGGATACATGTTTGTGACATGCGGAAGTGTCAGGGGTTCGTCTCTGTTTCTCAGGTGTCGTGGTACTCTCATCCCTAGTCCAGTGCCTGCCATTGGGCAGCAGCCCAGCATTGCTCGGGAGTGCAGACAGACCTGTCCTACCCCATCTCCCAGAGCACAAAACCGACTTGCCTCTGTTAAACCGGGAGCCTCTTCTAGTCAAAGTTCCTCAGGTCCCATAGGTCCACAGACGGAAGCTGGGTTACCTGACTCTCCTTTCTGGGTCCAGGTGAGTGCATTTTGTGGTTTCCTAAGAATAGAATTTATTCTCAAGGAAATGCCCAGGAAGCCAGCTTCAAAGACTCAAGCAAATCTGAAATTCAAATACAGGAGCTGTAAACAAAATGGTGTTTGGCAGACAGCCTTGCTGCTTAAGGGGCTCAGCCCCTCAGCTGGGCTCAGTTTCCCCTCACCCTCCTCCTAGCCTGTCTAGTTGCTGCCTGCATGCCTCAATTATCCTGGATGACACCTGCCTGCTCATTTCTTTGATACTGTTTGAGGCTCTGCCTAGATATTCTACCCCAATCGTATCATTAATTAACTTACATTAAGCCTACTTAGCACATTAGATCAATTAGGAGACAAAAGCCCCAGCCAGCCCTGCCTGCGAGCATGCCGCCTCCATCTCAGTGCCTACAATTCTGTCCTTACTGAATTCTTACGTTGCAGGAAGGAATTTTTTTTTAATCCCCAAGGTTAATATTTTCTTAAAAAATAAAGCAAGGAAATATAAGCTGATGCCCAGTAATTTAACCTTTGCTGTATATTTCTATAGCACTTTACAAAGCATTTTCATGAATGTCTTCTCTATTTTCCCAATAAGACAATTGAGGCTCAGAAAGGTTCACTGACTTGCCCAAAGTCACACAGCTCAAAATGTTTATAGGAACACAAGAGCTGGTCTAGGTTAGCACTCAGAATGCCCAGGCCTTGTGTGGAGCCTATCACTGGTCATTGGAGGGGCTGAAAGCAGAACCTGTGTCCTCTGCCTCCAACACTGGCACATTTGCCCCCGCAAGGAGATGGTGCAATGACAACCACCAGGGATTATTAAAATAAGGGTGGAGTGAGCAAACACTCCCGTTCCTGTATCTTAGTTTCCCAGGGTCATGTCAGCCCAGAGACACATGCCCTCTCCTCAGAGGCGAGGGATCAAGAAGAAACAATCTCAGTTTGTTCTTTGTGAACCCTCCTGATAAAGGTTTGGTGATACAGGAGATATTAGAGTGTTTGTAGTTTTTATATAGTGAAAAACTGTCATATATAGGCCATTGTAGGTGGTTCAATCTAAGGTAGTCTAGTAACTAAAACAAAATTTCAAAATGGCATTTGGGGCTCAGGCATCCCAACAGCGTGTTGGCCCCTAAGAAAATGATCTCCACTGTATTTACTTTTGCATCATTTTCCTTAGAGTGTTATAAAGCATTACTCAAGGATAGCTAACCCTGCACAGTCAAAGCTAAGGAAAAAGCTTTTCCCTGGCTCTTCCCAGGGATTGGTCGTTCATTAGGTCATGTATTAAGGGAGCCTACAACCTGAAGTGTCTTCAGTCATAGCACACCCCAAGCACATCATGCACTCCATGAAAATATATCCAAGGAATGAATGAGTTCCTTCATCCTTCTTGTCAGAGAAAGGTCACCAATTGTTCTAACCACACAGTGGGGAACAAGGGGTTTGCTTAAACATTAGCATACCCTAAGTCAATAAGCAAACAAATCCCAGTTGGCAAGGCTACCATCTGTGGGGGCAGAGACACCTGTTATTTCTCAAATGCTAGGTGCTTGAGGGTGGAAACACACTATTTGGACCCCAGGAAGGAGCAAGCACATGTGGGTGAAGCTGGGGGTCCTGCCCCCTTGCCCAGATCTCCTTGCCCAGGCACACTCTGGAAATGCCCATCATTTTATACACCTACATACACATGCAACCAACCAGGAGGCCTTTGTTTTCCATTTCTGACAAAACAGAGGACCATGGAAAACAGATGGGCCATAAGGAGACCCACAGAGGAAGATGCAACTGTGCCAGTAGCCCTGGCTGCACCACCCTGAGCTCATGCCAGTTCAACTCACTTCACAGTAAATCAGACCGACTGCTCCAAACATAGCAGGAAGGCACCTCCACTTGTGAGTCGGGATGAAATGAGCAATGAGGGCAATAACAACCACAGTCACGTTACTCTTACTAACAGCCCTGAGGCCCAAGGTGCAGTGCAAAAGCCAAGCTTGTCAGTGGGCTCAAGGCTGATATTGTTAATTGATACCATTCGATGGCTAGATACAGGCAACTAAAAGACGAGCACAAATACTGAAATAAGATACAATATTAGTCTCCTGAAAATAAAAAAGAGTTGATTCTGCCAACCACACCTGAATCCTGAGAGAAAGGGCTTTCTTAGGATAAAAGAAAGACATGCAAAACCAGACTATAAGAAAAAATGAGAGGACATGCACTGTTTTGACAACCTCAGATCGTTACCAAATCTCTTCTCTAAAAAATTCCATTGGCTGGACCAGGCACGGTGGCTCACACCTGTAATTCCAGCACTTTGGGAGGCCGAGGCGGGTGGATCACACAGAAGGCTGAGGTCAGGAATTCAAGACCAGCCTGGCCAACATGGTGAGACTCTGTCTCTACTAATATACAAAAACTAGCTGAACGTGGTAGTGTGCGCTTATAATCTCAGCTATTCAGGGGAGGCAGGAGAATCGCTTGAACCTGGGAGGCGGAGGTTACAGTGAGCTGAGATCACGCCATTGGACTCCAACCTGGACAACAGAGTGAGACTCCATCTCAAAAAAAAAAAAAAAAAAAAAAAAAAACCTTCCATTTGCCGTATTTCCAATCCCATATTTGCATGGAATCCTGCATGCACAGGAGGAAGCAGGGAGGATTTCAAGTTGGCTTTAGCACACATTCATTCATTCAGCAAATGTTTTCTGTGTGTCTGCTACATGCCAGGCACCATGCTGGGATGTAGTCACACAGTGGTCCCATGGGTGAGGAGAGAGAACATCTCTGCACTCACAGAGCTTAGACTCTGCTGCAGGGAGAGAAGCCATAATGGACAAATCCAGCGCCGTGAAAAAAAAAATCAGCAAGGCAGGCGGAAAGTGTCCAGGGTGGGAGTGGGGGCTTCTTGGGAAATGAAATAGTCGAATAAAGACCCAGATGAAGTGAGGAAGTGAACCAGGACACCCGCAAGAAGGAGACGTCCCCGCCGCAGCAGCAGGAAGGCCATGCTGCTGGAGCAGAGGGGAAGGAGGGAAGAACAAGAGGAGAACCAGGAGCGTGAGCGGGCCATGGCAAGGGAGCTGGGCTCTCACTGAGCGTGAAGGGAAGGCAAATAGAAGTCAAGTCAGGGCAGACATTCAGCCATGGCAGCTCATACCCTGTGTTGTTCTGGGGCAGTCAGTGCCACATCACCCCATCCCATGCCATGCCGGTTGCTGTATTCTGAGTATCTGCTCCTAAGTAGCCTCTTCTGAGGAGGGCTGGCTTGACTGGGGTGCAGGGCAGGAAAGGCAGGCAGCAGGAGGGATGGCAGGAGAGGAATGATCTGTTTCCACCAACACCTGCTGCCTTCGCCATTAACACATGCCAAAGGGATCCATTCTGAGAAAAATTATAAAGACCCTAACTTGAAACACATGATTACACTTACAAAAATCTAAAAGTAGATTATCAAGACTCAGTAAGTTGTGTATAGAAAGCGCACTTAGCAACAGACATCACCGTTGCCCCCCTTGCAGCCCTGCTGGGGCATCTCAAACAGTCTCAGAGCCCCTGGCCAGCTGCACTCACTTCCTCCTCACTTGGAGAGAGGAACACCTTCCAGCATCAGATGTGAGATGGGGTGGGGATGCAGTGGCTCCCTGACAGCTCAGTTGGCAAAATTGTTGGGAACAGGTTCAGAGATCACAGATGTCCTGGGCCAGCATGCCACAGCTGTTCCTGTTGACTCCATACGGCCTTTGGAGTTGGGGAGAACCTGGTTTCCCTGACCTGTTGCTCATAACTGAACGATGGAGGCCGATTAGAAGGGAAGTCAGCCTGGAGGAAGATACCTGTCTCTGGGAAGCACAGGACAGTGAAAACAGACAGATAGATCATGAGGCGGGAGCTGGAAGGGCAGGATTGTTGGCTTGATGTCTGGTTGGGGTCTGGTAATACAGCAAAGTGCGAGTCCATGGGGAATGCTCCAATGGGATGCAGACGTCTATTAGCCTGGCTGATTTTATTCACCCAGTTAGATGTGGTTTTATGGTTTACTGTTTGGATTGAAGCTCTGTTTCCTTGTGTAATAAGCATTACCTCTGGCCCAGAAAAATTCTAATCCTTAAAATATTGAAATGCACTGAGCATCCCTAAAAGGTACTGTAGGAGTCCCAAGGTTCATTTTCTTTAAGATTTAGTCCTTAATAAAGACTCAAAATGGCCGTTCCTAAACCCTCCTGCCCATAATGAAGAAGATAAATCAGAGGGTACACTTTGGGGATGTTGACATGCTGCATCCTCTATAGAAAGCCTTTATCTCCAAGAAGCGTGGCCAAGGGAGGGCACTGACAGCTGAGTTTAGAGTGGGATTTGTAAGCAGCACAAACTAATTGTGCATCAGTAGATTTGCAGAGTGTGGTTTTCTGTTGACAGATTTCTTTATGGGCAATAAAATCTCCAATAAGTATTATTTACATTCAGCAGAACTCTTTTTGAATTTTAGCTCATTCTTAGATTTGGAGAGAGAGAGAGACCATCCCTGTACATGCAGCAAGCTCCTGGCCTGTCTGGGTGGCCCCTGCCAGTCCTTGTTCTGTGGCCACTGTGATCCCCGCCAATGTCCTAGTTTCCCTCCAGCACTCACTAAAGTAATTTGGCTCCTCATTTTATGGGCAGAGGCAACCAAAACAAGGAGACGTAGGTGACTCGGGAGAGTTGGTTTTGAGTTAACTCTAAAAACCAGGAGACCAAACTTTCTCTAGAATTACTGCCAGTTGGTTTCCAATTTGAGGTTTCCAGATGAAAATTATTATCCAAACAGACCACACACAGCACTCTGACTTGCCTTCTGTGTCTGGCGTGTGTGAGGGAAATGGCACTGGAGAATATTATTAACTCTGATGATTATCAGAGTTGCTGCTTTTGAAGGCAAATATTTATTTTGTGAAAATTGCAAAATGAAGTACAGTTGAATGTTGAGCTCCTCCTTATGTTTACAGAATAAACAGA